GCGGTTCTTAAATATATGAAGCAATGTCCAGCATGATTCATATCAAGATTATCAATTTAAGCAACACTAAATACTATTCTCATCTATCAGATTGGCAAAAATCCAAGTGTTTGACAATAACATTCTACTGAAGAGGCTTTGGAATAAAAAGCACTTTGATACCTTGCTGGTGAAAGTTCGAATTTATATAGCCCCTACAAAGGGTAATTTAACATTATCTATCAAAATACAAATGCAGTTATGTTTTAACCTAGCTATCTCATCTGAGAAACCATGATAATCCATAAAAACTGACGTCTGCACAAGGTTATTCATTTAATCATTACCGTTTTACCAAAATATTGGCAATGGTCATTAACAAGGGATGTATTTTTATTTTTTTATTTTTTTGAGACAGAGTCTTGCTCTGTCGCCCAGGCTGGAGTGTAGTGGTGCCATCTCAGCTCACTACAATCTCCATCTCCTGGGTTCAAATGATTCTCCTGCCTCAGCCTCCCAAGTAGCTAGGGTTATAGGTACACATAACCACGCCCAGCTAATTTTTCAATTTTTAGTACAGATAGGGTTTTGCCATGTTAGCCAGGCTGGTCTTGAACTCCTGACCTCAGATGATCCATCTGCCTCGGCCTCCCAAAGTGCTGAGATTACTTACAGGTGTGAGCCACCATGCCTGGCCCAGGGGATGTATTAAATAAATTATTTCACATCCATGCAATGGAATAGTATGCAGCAGTAAAATACATTAAGACATTCTCTATATGCTAATATGGAAAAATCTCTAAGATATATTGTTAAGAGAAGCAAGTTACAGAATTCTATAGAATCCTATGGAAATAAGGAAAGAAATAAGAATATATATATTTAGGCCACATGCAGTGACTCACGCCTGTAATCCCAGCACTTTGGGAGGCAGAGGCGGGCGGATCACCTGAGGTCAGGAGTTCGGGACAAGCCTGGCAAACATGGTGAAATTCCGTCTCTACTGAAAACACAAAAAAATTAGCCAGCCGTGGTGCCATGCACCTGTAGTCCCAGCTACTTGGGAGGCAGAGGCAGGACAGTCGCTTGAACGGGGAGGCAGAGGTTGCAAAAAGCCAAGATTGCGCCACTGCACTCCATCCTGGGCAACACAGAGAGACTCCATCTCAAAAAAAAAAACACACACACACACACACACACACACACACACACATTTACGTATCTTATTTATTTATTTATTTAGTGTGTGTGTTTCAAATGGTTGAGTTGGAGCCTGGAAGTCTAGGTTTTGGTTTTTGTTTCTTGAGTTTGTTTGTTTTTGCTTTGTTTTACTTTGTTTTAAAGATCCAAAATGATTCTGATGTAGCAGGTCCACAGAAAACTACTGATCTACTATGCAGTCAATTTGTGTAAGCGTTCCAAAGGCAATTGAAAAGAAGCAACATCTGTTAGAGGATCAAAAGGATCAAAGTCTGATAGATACAGAAACAGATATATATATATATATATATATATATATAGAAAAATATGTATATAATTGACATTAGTAAGATGAATAAATATCATTTCTAACTCTAGTATTGATATGTCAAGTGATCTGTGTTAAAAATCTACCATTACAATTGTATTCTGTGAATTTTTCCATCATTACATAAGTACATATACATACACTATGTTATAATATATACTATTGACAATATAAAATATCTTCATTATTGATTTTACCTTTTATGAAAAGATGCATAATAGCCCTCTTTATCACACTGATTGCTTTTTTTGCCTTGAATTCTACTTTTCTATATTAATATTGCCACTCCTGCTTTCTTTTTGTATTTGGCTTTTCTAATTTTTTTCTTAACAATTTTCAAATATTCTGACTTTCTTTAATAAAATATGGATCAGTATGTGTAGGTTTTTTGGAGAGATGGCCCAAATTGAGAATCTTTGTTGTTTAACAGTGGAATTTAACTCATTTATATTTATTATCATTACATATGTACTCACACTTCTATCATATTTATTATTCCTTTATTTTCTTTTTCTACATGTGTATTTTCTTTGCCTTCTTTTACTATTTGGAATGCTTCCATTCTACTAGTAACTTTATATCTATGAAATACTAAATTTTCATCAAAGTACATCCAGCAATTAATTTCCTTTCATTGACTTTGTCTGTTAATGGGTGAGTCATTTTGATTTTCAGATTTAAGTCTTCAATCAGCTTAACAACATCAATTATCCATGTGTAATTCCTACTCACTACCCTCCATATTCATCATAATCTCACTCATTATTTTAAAGTTGTTGTGTTTCCTTTGAATTATGTGAGAGTTTCTTAAACTTGTTCCCCATATTAATAACTGGATTTTCTACAAAGTAGATTCTGCTTTTTACTGCTTCATATACTATTTAAAATTCTTTTTGATCATTTTTAGTTTTCTTTTATTATCTCCCTAACTTAACCAGCAATTGTTTTCTCCCATTCTGATGCTCACTCTATCTTTCCTTTCTTAGTGTGTTTTTTTTCTAGAGGTTTGTGGAAAATTCAAAGTTAATAAATATCTCAAATTTACCTGGCTTTCTGTAAAAGTAAATACTTTTCAAAACTCTTATTCTCTAACTAGTTTATGCTTTTTTAGATGTAGAATCTCTTCTTTTACAAACCCATAAAATTTCTTCTTCTTTATATCCAAACGTGAAATAAAAGAAATCCACACAGGCTTGTTGTCTCCAAACTGTGGGTAGATTCTTCTTAGCTACTCTCATGGCACACACATGCTGTTAGAATACTTAGATCATAGACTGGAGTGCTGCTTATTATAAATTTGGTACATCAATTAAAAAATCCAGAAGTCTATGGGGAATGAGGAAGAAGTTTGGACAGTAGTCACTGCCAGCAGGGGAATTTCATTTCTGGATAATTTCTTCTTTGTGTCTGGCAAAGCTGCTAAACCGTGGAGCCAATTTTTTATGTCTGGTTTCCAATTTGGCCTGGCAATCACTCCAAGTACATGATGTGACTGCCCATCTTCTTAGCTGGTATACGGCTTCTCATCACCACCCTACCCACTAGCTTTCTATCTGGGAGAGCCACATTTGAGCTTGCCCTTGGGCTTCCTGGGGCATTGATTTCAAATGCTGTTGACCCACAACATAATTCTATGTGGAAAGATCCCTGGCTGTTCTAGGGCTCACTCTCACTCCTAAAGAGGACAGGATTCTTCTAGAATCTCCAACTGCATATATTCCCATACAACACTGCTTTCCTCTTCTCTTTTTTTTTTTTTTTTTGTTGTTGTTGTTGTTGTTGTTGTTGAGACAGGGTCTCACTCTGTTGCCCAGGCTCGACTGGCATGATCCTGGCCCACTGCAACCTCTGCCTCCCAGGTTCAGGTGATTCTCCTGCCTCAGCCTCCTGAGTAGCTGAGACTACAGGTACGTGCTACCACCTCTGGCTAGTTTTGTTTTGTTTTTTTTGTTTGTTTGTTTTTGTATTTTTAGTACAGAGGGGGTTTCACCATCTTAGCCAGGATGGTCTCGATCTCGTGACCTCGTGATCCGCCCACCTCGGCCTCCCCAAGTGCTGGGATTACAGGCGTAAGCCACCGTGCCTGGCCATGATACTGCTTTCTAAGGAAGGGAAACTGGGGTTCAACTCTCAATATTCACCTACTTTTAGTCCTAACTTTCCCATAGATTACAAAACAAAAAAGAAAACCCGTCAAAGTATGTGTTGTGTGCCTGGCATCTTTCTCTAGCTTCCAGCCCCAAAGCAGCATTTCCAGTCCTAATGTAGGATACACTATTAGAAAGAGGGGGTTAGATCTTTGTATTCCGCTGTCATCTTATTCAAAAATCCTACCCAATCTTGGTCTGAATTTTATTAAGGTAGCAATTTTCTTCACAGAGGTTCATCTAGCTGAAAATCCTATTTGGAGATGGAGATCCAGGTATTAACCTCTCAGAAAATTGGCTCTTGCTATTTAATTGACTCTTCCATGCCTTACAAATATGATTTCCAGCCAAATGAACCTCCGTAGAGAAAATTGCTTCCTTTCTTGATAAGAAACAAACTAAGATTGGATGGATGGGTGCCGACAACATCCTCAAACCATGGACCCCCGCCTTTCCCAAAGTGGGGTTGTATGTCCTTATTCCCTCCCATATTTATCTCAAAATTTGGGCAGGAAAAAAAATCTGATTGCTCTTTTCCAAATACCTTTATGAATTTTCAATTAGACTCCACAAATAAGGATTGAGAGCTTGACAGGTTCACAGTATTCTGCTGAGCACCACCCCACCAGGGACAGAGATAAATAAGACACAGACTCCTCTGTGCCCCCATAGCAACCTGTGCATATTGCTAAAATCATACCCGTGACACACATTACATTCGTGAAACCATACGCCTTTCAGAGAACAGGGACCAAGTCTCAGCCATCATGGTATCTCTAACACCTATCACAGTTCCTGGCACAGAGGAGGTTTTACAAAACATGTTAGCTAAGCCAAACAGAAACCAGTTCCAGTTCCTGCCCTTGAGAAGGTCACAATCCAGAGAGAGGTGCCCTGGCTTCCGCCGTCAATCAGTGTTCCTGTTGTGAACATCACTGCATCTCAGGGAACCCAGCCCACACAACAAACACTATCTTTCCTGGCGAGACTATACCCCAGGCCTTGCTGTGGTGAACCCTCTCCCAGGACTCGGAGCTGCGTCTCAGCAGGATGAGTCACACTGAACCATCCCTACTTTTCTTCAATCTTCCTCTAAGCCATGGACGTGTAAGAAAGGGGGCCAGGAGGTACAGTCCGGGTGACCTGGAGACCTGGATGCCCCTCTGTCAGCTGGTGGAGCATGTGGGTCTCCCTGCTAGGCAACTTCAGACATAGCCCCAGGATTCCAGCAGGCCTGTGTCCGCCAGCGCACCCAGACCAGACTGGTCAGTCTGGTATTTCTGAGTCCATCCCAGCCACCACCCTGCCTGGAAGAGGAGTGGCCTCACGCAGCACAGCAGCGCTACCTGAGGATGATCCGCAGGTACTCGATCCCCTCTGCTTCCTCGCACTTGACGGACAGGATCAAGTTCCCCAGGCTGCTGCCAGTACAGTAGAAGTTGAGATGATCCTGAAAAAGAGGAAACTGTGAGTGTGAGCAGGAAGGAAGAAACCTTCCAGATATGCTCACAAACCACCTCCTTCACCAGGAGCGCGAAGCCCCGCAGCAACAAAGAGAAGGATGCTACTGACGACAATGGCTTGACATTAACAGGTACCGCCGGCGAATCCTCCCAGGAGCGCCAGGCATGGTGAGGGCTGGATACCCCTGTCTCCTTCCTCCTGACCACAACTTTATTCGGGAGAGAACATCGTCCCCGTTTCACAGATCGGAAAACCAATGGTCCGGGAGGTTAAATCACTGCCCAGGGTCACCACGGCGAGTAAGGGTCAGATCCAGGCTCAACCTTTGTCGGTCTTGACTCTGAAGGGCAAGTTCTTGACCACAAGACACTGAGTTCTCATTCCCGGGAGGCGGCCCTCACCAGTTCAGACTATTTGGGGCAGACATAGCAGAAGGAACCTGGTACCTCCAGCCAGGAAGCTGGGAGGTGTCTGGGCCAGTGGGTCACTCCTGGCTAGGGAACACGGGCTGAAAAACACAGCTCCCAGACCTGCTGGATCAGAGTGGGGCCCTGGAGATCACCCACGCTAACAAGACCCCAGGCTCTGGTGCAGCCTCCCGTCATGTGAGACTCTGCAAAGCGGCCTCAGGCTACAGATTTCCGGAATCTGCCCTCAGTACATCAAGTCTGGTAAAGTCCGAAGGGCAGAATATATTTTTAAAGTAATTTTGTCACTTTTAAGCTATCAGAGGCTCGCAGACACTATGCAGTACAAGTACTCAGAGGACCTGACGGAGAAGCGAGGGCGGGAGATTTGCGTGATTTAGATGGAAACAGAGACTTCTGAGGTGTGAGAACGTATTTTTCCTTGAACAGTCAAACTCCACCATCCATCCTTCACCCCAAACACTACCCATTCCATCGCCTCCTGAAACATTTGCAGGGAGTGGTCCCCACAAGGACTCACGGCACTGAAGCCTCCTGACTGTTGCATGGCTCCCTGCCCCACGTGTCCCTATCCCAGGACAGAGCCAGTCAGACCTCTCCAACTAAGACAGCAGCAGGCAGCAACGAAAGGACAGACTGGGAAGGAGGTAAGAGGCAAAGGAAAAGGGGGGCACTGGATAGAGTCGTGGGCCTGTGCCCCTCCCACCCACCCCATGACAGCTCCTCTCTCCCCAGGGCCGCCAGTCCCTCCCCAGCCCGCCCCCACAGCTCCGCTCCCCTAGGGCCCCAACCCTTTCCATCCCTGCCAGTTCCTTTCTCTCCCAGCCTCCTAGCCTCTCCCCTTCACCCCCAGCAGCTCCTCTCTCCCAGGGTCCCTAGCCTCTCCCCCAATCCCGCCAGCTCTTTCTCCTCCAGCCTCAGCCTTTAGCTCCTCTCTGCCCAGCCTCCCCCAGCCTCTCCTCTCCCCGACCCCTGGTACCTCCTCTCTCCCAGGGTCCCAAACTCTGCCCCCAACCCCAGCAGCTCCTCTCCCCAGCCTCCCCAGCCTCTCCCCCGACCCCTGGCTCTCTCTCCCAGGGTCCCCAGCCCCTCCCCGACCCTCCCACAGCTCCCCAGCCTCTCCCCCGACCCCTGGTACCTCCTCTCTCCCAGGGTCCCCAGCCCCTCCCCCCACCCTCCCAGCCTCTACCCCTCTCCCCCGACCCCTGGTACCTCCTCTCTCCCAGGGTCCCCAGCCCCTCTCCCACCCTCCCACAGCCTCCCCCAGCCTCTCCCCGACCCCTGGCTCCTCTCCCAGGGTCCCCAGCCCCCTCCCCACCCTCCCACAGCCTCCCCCAGCCTCTCCCCCGACCCCTGGTACCTCCTCTCTCCCAGGGTCCCCAGCCCCTCCCCCCACCCTCCCACAGCCTCCCCCAGCCTCTCCCCCGACCCCTGGTACCTCCTCTCTCCCAGGGTCCCCAGCCTCTGCCCCATCCCCACCAGCTCCTCTCCCCCAGCCTCACCTTCCCTAGGAAGTGCCTCCCGATGAGCCCTGGCTTCACCCTTGCACTCCGAGCTTGTAGCCAAATGTGTTGGGGCTGAGGTTGTCGTGTTGGGGCTGAGGTTGTCCTCTTCCTCCTCCTCACAGATGCTGCTCCCCAGCGATGTTGGGGTGCCCACATTCTCCGGGTCCTCGATCCAGTAGCCCCCAAACTGCGGCAGGATGACCTGAGGGTATGGGCCTCCCTTCTCCACAACCTGAAGGCAGAGGGAGGGTCCTGCGCTGCAGCTGGCCCTGGGACCGCAGGGGAGGGAGGGGCTGGTGGCGGTGACCCCTCTGCACTGCTCCCAGGAGTAGGGCCTGGTACCCACTGGTACTTGAGGCCAAAGGCAGTGACCTGAACCCCTCCTCCAAGCCCCACAACATCTCCAGCTTCATTCGCCAACCCTGTAGCCCCAGGGCTGCAAGGCCTAGATGAGCACCCCCAACTTAACATATGGAGAAGCTGAGGATACAAAGGCAAAGACAGGAAGAGAGGTCCCAGGCCCAAGGTGCTCTCCCATGGGGGGTTGGGCACAACCCATCACCATCATTTCCCCAGGGAAGGGACCCAGAGCAGGCTGCAGAGCGGGTGGGAGCGGGGGAGGGCGCCTACCTCGTCGATGCTGGGGTACGGGATATAGTCATCCTATAAGACAAACCAGATAGTGCCACCGTTAGTCCCGACAGCGCCCATAAAGTCTGACCACTGTTTCCAGGTCTCACAAGGGGGGTACATTGTGGGGGCTTTGAGGGAGGAACATTCGATGGAAGAACAGCTCAGAATCAGCTCTGGGATCTGACATCCCCCCCACCCCGTTCTTCTCCAAACTGACAGAACCGGAACATAAACCCTGCCAGCTGACGACGCAGTATCTGAAGGCGCTGAACTTCTCACCCCGCATCATACCAGCTTCTCATCCCAGAATGCTCATTCCAGAAAACGACCTCTAGTCTCCCCCAGCACCCCTTTCCAGGCAGGGGGACTGGCCTCCAAGTGAGAAGCGGCACCCTGGGCTGGGAAATGGGACCTGAAGCTGAGAGCTGACTGCCCACTGGAACCCGGGGCAGAGCCTGACACCCTTACACACTGCACGGGGTCGGGAAGAGCCGGGCCAAACAGCCAAGCCTGAGGTCCCACCGAGGCCTCCACCCCCAGCCTGCTCTGAAGCTGCCCTGAGGCATCAGGCCAGGACCCCTCGGCTGCCCACCGTGCACTGGTCTAACAAGGCAGTCATGAAGCGGCCCGTGGTGCGAGTCAGAGTTAGACAGGTGTGAGACACGAGACCCCAGCACCCTGGCAGCTCCTCCTGCCTTCCTCTCACCCTGGCCCCTCACCAGGGCCATCGGGCCACCCCTCCCCCACCCAGCCCACCTTGTTCTTCTGGGGTCCTGGCTTCTGTTCTTCAAGCTTGATCCCCTATAGAAACAAGGAAAACAGGATCCACAGAAAAGCAAAGGTCAGAAGAAAGGGCCAGATCAAGAGCACCTGGCTTCACAGGGGGTTAGTAACAAGAGCAGCACAACAGCTGGCCCGGGCTGGGCCTGCACACATCACACCTGGCCACGGGCGGGCCTCCCAGCACCTGAGTGAGGCAGCAGCACCGCTGAGCTAACAGCACAGACTTGAGACAGATCACTGCGGTTCAAATCCCAGCACTGCCACCTATCAGCCTGATGACCTTGGCAAGTCACAGAAACCTCTCTGTGACTCAGTGTTCTCATCTGTAAAATGGGAACGATGGTGGTATCGACTATGGTGGTGAAGGTTAAAGGTGAACAATGGGTTGAGCACTTGGAACACTGACTGGTACATAATAAGTGCTGTGGGTCATTATGAAGGAGGCCATATTATCATTCAAAGCTTAAATATCTGTCTTGTCGGGCGCGGTGGCTCACGCCTGTAATCCCAGCACTTTGGGAGGCCAAGGCGGGCAGATCACCTGAGATCAGGAGTTCAAGACCAGCCTGACCAACGTGGAGAAACCCCATCTCTACTAAAAATACAAAATTAGCCAGGCATGGTGGTGCATGCCTGTAATCTCAGCTACTCAGGAGGCTGAGGCAGGAGAATTGCTTGAACCCGGGAGGCAGAGGTTGCAGTGAGACAAGATTGCGCCATTGCACTTCAGCCTGGGCAACAAGAGCAAAACTCCATCTCAAATTAAAAAAAAAAAATATGTCTTAGGATCACAGAGCCAGTAAGGGAAGGGAAACACGGGAAATCATACCTGCTGGTGTCAGAGCCAGCGTTCTAGACCCCATGCCAACAGGCCTTCAGGGGACAGGCAGGAGGCCTGGTGCTGGCCCTCACTCTGCTGCAAGCTTACTATTTGTGACCCTCGACAAAGCATAGCCTCTTGGAGCCCCCAGTGTCATCTGTAAAATGAGGATTAGACACTCACCTTTCATCCCACTAATGCAAGGATGACTGCAAGGATCAGATATGATGCCTGGGACTCGACTAAGGGAATTTATCTACAGGTATCTGAAGAATTCACTTCTGGGGAGCAGTGCCCTATCCAACAGTTCTTTTTGTTTGTTTGTTTTTGAGACAGAGTCTCTCTCTGTCACCCAGGCTGGAGGGCAGTGGTACGATTTCAGCTCAAAGAAAACCTCCAACTCCCAGGTTCAAGCAATTCTCCTGCCTCAGCCTTCCAAGTAGCTGGGATTACAGGCAGGCGCCACCATGCCCGGCTAATTGTTTGCATTTTTAGTACAGACGGGGTTTCTCCATGTTGGCCAGGCTGGTCTTGAACTCCCAACCTCAGGTGATCCACCCGCCTTGGCCTCCCAAAGTGCTGGGGTTACAGGCGTGAGTCACTGCACCTGGCCCCAGTCCCGGTTCTATCATTGAGTTCTGACTTAACTGTGTTGTGCAGGAGGGGAACACGTGGTGATTCCAAGACTGTCTGAGAAAATCGGGTGACAGCACGAGACGGAGCACAAACTAGAAGAAACAGTTCCCCTCTGAAGCAGGAGTCCAGAAGCAGCTTCTGCCTGATCACAACACTAACGCACGGGGATTTCAGCCTTCCCAAGCAAGCTCTCTCTGTGGTCTCCTTTGAAACTCACAGCACCTTTCCGCCAGCAAGGACGCCGGGGCCCCAGAACGAGGCTGCTTGCCTAAGGTCGCACAGCCAGTGAGGGGCAGGGCCTAGATTTGAAGCCGGGTCACCGGCTCACCAAGTGCATGAGGTGCCCCACACTCTGCGGACAGCAGGGCTCCTGTTAACTGGGTGGCTTGAGAGGCTGCCTCTCCGGACTTCCCTGGGCTGAGTCGCCTCGCAGCATTGTTCAGGAGGGCGTGCGAGGGCCCTTCCCACTGGACAGGCGCTCCTCTCACACACACAGAGAAAGCCACCTGGGTGGCCCTCCAGACCCTGTCCCAGTTGGCACACTGGGTGGATGGCGGGCGGGGGCAGTGAGGGCAGACGTCTGTTCTGTTTGGCCTGCATTAGTCATCCCTGTCTGGGAACAGCCCCGAGGGCAGGAGAGCAAACCTCCTCCCGTCCCCTCTGCCACACCACTCCCTCCCCTAATAACCTACCGCAGAGCCACTGTCCAACACTGGGCCCTCTCTCCTCCATGTGCTGCCTTTGCTGGAGGTACTGTCTTTTTTTTTTTTTTTTTTTTTTCTGAGACAGAGTCTCGCTCTGTCATCCAGGCTGAACGCAGAGGCGCAATCTCCGCTCACTGCAACCTCCGCCTCCCGGGTTCAAGAGATTCTCCTGCCTCAGCCTCCCGAATAGCTGGGACTACAGGCGTGTGCCACCATGCCCGGCCACAATAGGTATTATCTTTATGTCCCCTTCTCCCCTCAATGAAGAAATGAAGGCTCAGAGAGGGAAACCAACTTGACCAAGGATACTCAGCTAGAAAGAGTCAGGGTTAGAACCTGAACCCAGGACTGAAGAAGTCCAAAGCTTCTGCCTTCTCACAATTCCTAGACTCTTGGGCTAGGAATCGGGTATCCTGGGTTCCAGTTTCAGCTCTTCACAACTAGCAAAGTGACCCGGGCACTTCACTGCTCTGAGGTTCAGTTTCCACACATGCAAGATGAAGAGAGATGGAGCCCAGGCTCAAGGCCCACGCGGGCACTCCATGGCCATCAGCGCCCCATACGTGAGCTTCTTACTAACAGTGAATCCTCTGAGGCTGGGCCCAGGGGGCACAGGGTACAGACTGAAACACCCAGAAATTTGGCTTCAACAGTCTCAACTGAAATGGCACAGACACCCCGCCCAGGGGGATCAGCCATTGCAGACAGAGGGAGAATAAAACAAGAGCCCTACCCTAGAAAGCGCCCAGTCTAGATAAAAAGACAAGCCCGGCAGCCTCTACACAACAGGACGCTCTGAGGCTGGTTAAGTGGGGCTGGATGCTGTGCTCAGAGAGACCCTGTGTGGGGGAAAGTTGTGGGAAGGGGACTCCGGCTGGGGGAGAAGGAAGAGAGGATCTGAGGAGACACCGGAGACAAGGCTGCGTGCGCTGCGAACCCCCTGCCAGCTTCCCAGAGGGCCAGGATCCCACTGACTAGAGGTGAAAATCCCAGCTTTGCTCCAAGCAATTGGGCACTTAATTATCTACCATCCCCCACCCCTCATCACTCAGGCGCGTGCCAGCCTTGCGTCCGCAAGCTCATAAGTTCCCTAAATGCATAGATGAGTCTGTCGTCTACACACGGCTGGGCGAGGAGGACGATTTTAATAACTTCCTCTGGGTGACACGGCCACTAACAATACTTCCCCTCCCTCCCCTCCCATCCCAGCCTCAGGGAGACCTGGCTGCTTCCCAGCATCTCAGGACTGCCGTGGGGGCTATATTTGCCCCTCCTCCTAGGACTTCCAGACCATTATTACAGAATCTTCCTCCCTTGAGCCTGGAGCACCTGCCTAGGGTCAAAAGTACCATGACATGATGGCTGGACTCCCTGGCTCTGAAGCCACTTACGAACCACGCACCTTTTGAGTGCTGCCTTTAATCGTGCTGTGCCTCAATTTTCCCACTTGTCCTGTGGGGATAATAACAACCCACCTACTTCTGAAGGCCTCAGCAGGAAGAAATGATGCCTGTCAAACTCTGAGCCCAGCGAAGTGCTTGAGCTACAGATGGATTATCAGCATCGTCGTCCCACTCTTCCCGCCCATGTCCATGAACCCTTCTGGGCCTCTGCACGTACTCTGCAGGGCAGTGGCTCTTACCTGGGAGCCCTGACCCTGGTGAGGAATAGCAAAGAACCCCCAAACCCACACCACACACCGACTTTTATATAGTGTCTACCAAGTACTTACACCGATTATCTTGTTTCACCCCAACCACCATGTAAGTGGGTGCTTTCCTTCTTATTTATTTATGGAGGCTTAGGACGGGCAAGGAACTGGTGCTAGTAAGTGTCCGGTGCAGGATTTGAACTCAGGCCGGCCTCCCACCCCACCCCTCTGCCTCCCCATGCGAGGTGACTCCCCCAAGAAGCAGCTCGTTCTTTCAGGCCTTCTTTCTGGCTCATTCCAGGAACAATGGACCCTTCAAACCCTCCTCCATATCTACAGGGCTTATGGCCTCCCCAGCTGCCCTGATGAGGAAGTTCTGCTTTTTATCCTCCCTGTCCCTCCACAGGAGTCTTCCCAAAGTGCTCAAGAGTAAAATGGCCTCGGGTTGCCAGGGCTAAGGGGATGTGATTGTCTCTTCTCTGCCCCCCCTCCAGGGCACCGGGTTTCTGCCCGTGGGTTCTGCCTGGTCCCTACGCCACCCACGTCTGGGTCCGGGCTTCTTCCCCACCGCGATGGGGGTACGTACTCACCTGCATTTTCTCCAGCATCTCAAAGAACTCCGACGACTGAAAGACAAAAGCAGGGGACAGAAAGGCAGGGATCAGCCAGGAGGTCCACCGCAAAAGCCTCTTCCTCACCAACTATCAGGAAGCTGTGCCTGGGGCTTCTCCAGGAACCAAATTCACTTGGATCAACAAAGAAGATAATTTGATTTTGCCTTTGCAGGGCTAGAGGGCCGAACACCCCATACAACGAGAGAGAGGCGAAGGCATGCCTGGGCTGGCAAATGAATGGTGCCGGGGGAGCAGACACTCGGCCTCTCAAGGAAAGAGGACTGCGGGGCCCTGGGAAAAGCCAAATTCCGCAAACGCCTGTCATCCTCGGGATTCAGCCTCTGGCAGGAGCCATGTTTAGGATGTTTTCAACCCAAAAATGGGGCCGAGGGGTCCAACACAAGCAGCGTTCCTGATACAGAAAACCAACCAGTCAAAGCAGAGCCGCTGTGGCCAGAGCAGCCGGGGAAGGTGGAGGGAGGGCCTGCCGTGCCACCTCTGCCTCTGCCTGCCCGGTCCCCTGCCCGCAACACACCACTTTAGGACCCTAAAACTGATAAAGCAAAGCCTGAACCGAGGCCTCCAGGGGCCTAGAGGGGCTATTTTTTTTCCTTTTTTTTTTTTTTTTTTTTTTTTTGAGACAGTCTCGCTCTGTCACCCAGGCTGGAGCGCAATGGCGCAATCTCAGCTCACTGCAACCTCCGCCTCCCGGGTTCAAGCGATTATCCTGCCTCAGCCTCCAGAGTAGCTGGGATTACAGGCGCCCGCCACCACACCCAGCTAATTTTTGTATTTTTAGTACAGACGTGGTTTCACCATGTTGGCCAGGCTGGTCTCGAACTCCTGACCTCGGGTGATCCACCCACCTAAGCCTCCCAAAGTGCTGGGATTACAGGCGTGAGCTACCACGCCCAGCCTAGATGGGTTATTTTTAAAATCCCAATTGCACTTGTCCAAACCTTTAACCTACTTTGGTGCCACCCTTGGGTATCCGGGAAAAACAAAAAGGAGAAAAGGGAAGTGGAATGGAAGCGTGAGGGGCTGGCAGCTCTACCCCAACAAAACACGCAGAGGCCACCCCACTTCCCATCCCCTGAAAACAGCTACCCTTCCTCAGACTAACGTCACTGCCCACGTCTGCACCGGGAAGCTAATGAGTGCCCAGAACAGGCAGTCCCCAGTGAAAACGAGAGAAAAGAAAGCAGGGATGAGGAACACGGTGTGTGTGTGTCCTTGGTTCTTCTTCGGGCAGGGGTGGGGCCTCCAAGCACTCTCCCTACCTCTGCAGGCACCCGTGGGCCAGAACTGCCTGGAGCTCCCATTGCTCCCAGAATTCCCAGAACCGCCCTGGGAAGGAGCCTAGTGAAGTCCCTGGAGAGAGCCAGGCCTGCTGTGGACTCTAAACAACCTCTGTCAGGTCAAAGCCAGCGTGTCAGAGGCAAAAAGCATCTGACCTACCAGCAGCTCAGGATCTGGCATCTAGAAACCCCGTGTATGAATGCACAGAGGTGGGCTTAGGGCACCCACATCCAACTCCCTCGACCAGAAGGGAGCTGCCAAACAGCCGGATGCAAACCTCCTCTTCCAACCTGCTCAGGTGCACGTGCACCACCCACGCGGGGCATTCTTACCATCTCCAGGCTTAGGAGACCAGGATTACCAGATGTAAAGAGCTTATACCAATCAATAAGGATAGAAAGATGAACAGGAGGAGGATAATGGAACAGAAACAATCAACATGTTAAATACACAGACCTCTGACCCGCGATTCCACGTCTAACAATCCATCCTCTAACACACTTGCAATGTACACAAAGACAGGCTCAAATGTTCACTGCAGCATTGTTTCTAACAGTAAAAAATAAAAACAACGTAAACATCTGCAGAAAATTGGTTAAAAGAAGCTACATTCACAGAATAAAATACAAGCAGTATAAACTATAGGTCAATAAATTAGGTAACGTCAATGAAATGAACAAATTCCTAGAAAAACACAACCTATCACAACTGACTCAGTAAGAAACAGAAAATCTAAAGACATGTAACAAATAAAAAGATCAAATGAACGATTAAAAAAAACGACGCACAAAGAAAAGCCCAGACCCAGGTGGCTTCATTTGTAAATTCTACCAAACGTTTACAGAAAAGTGAATACGAATTCCTCATTCTTACTCTCAAGAAAGTCAAAAGAAAGCCCACAGAATGGCGGAAAATATTTGCAAATAATATATCTGATCAAGGACGGGTCTCTACAAAAACCAACTCTTACAACTCAAGACAATTGAAGAAAATTGTTGTAAGAAAAAGACAATTCTATTTAAAAATGGGCAAAGGATCTAAATACACATATCCCCAGAGAAGACATACAAAGGAACAATACGTACATGAAAAGACACTCAAGCCATTAGTCATCAGGAAATACAAATCAAAACCACGAGATACCACTCATACCACTAACGCAGCTATGATCAAAAACCAGAATATCACAGGTATGAGCAAGGACGTGGAGAAATCAGATCCCTCATCTGTTGCTGGTAGGAATGTCAAACAGTACAGCCATTGTGGAAGATAATTTCACAATTCCTTAAAAAGTTCAGCACGGAATTATGACCACATGACCCAGCAATTCAACCCCTAGGAACATACACAAAAGAATCGGAAGCAGGTACTTAAGCAAATACTTGAACACAAACATTCATAACTGCAGTATCCACTCTTGCCAAACGGTGGGTACAACCCAAATGTCCATCAACTGACGAATAAACAAAATATGCTATATCCCTACGATGGAATAATATTCAGCCATGAAAAATAACATACTGATATATGCCGCAACAGTGCTGACCTTTGAATGCATTACACCAAATGAAAAAAGGTAGAGATAGGGCCAGGTGCGGTGGCTCACGCCTGTAATCCCAGCACTTTGGGAGGCCGAGGTGGGCGGATCACAAGGTCAGGAGATCGAGACCATCCTGGCTAACACGGTAAAACCCCGTCTCTACTAAAAATACAAAAAAATTAGCCAGGCGTGGTGGTGGGCGCCTGTAGTTCCAGCTACTCTGGAGGCTGAGGCAGGAGAATGGCATGAACCCAGGAGGCGGAGCTTGCAGTAAGCCGAGATCACGCCACTGAACTCCAGCCTGGGTGACAGAGCGAGACTCCGTCTTAAAAAAAAAAAAGACAAAAGGTCGAGATAAAAGACCATGATTCCATTTTTATCAAATGTCCAGAGTATGCAACCTCATAGAGACAGAAAGTAGATTAGGGATTGCTTAGGCTGAGGAGGATGGGGGATTGGAAGGTGATAGCTAAAAGGTACGGATTTCATTTCAAAGCAATAAAAAGATTCTAAAACTGAGTATGATGGTGGATGCACAGCTCCACGAATACCACCAAAAACCACTGAATTGTACACTTTATTTTATTTTTTATTTTTTGAGATGGAGTTTTGCTCTTTTCGCCCAGGCTGGAGTGTAATGGCGTGATCTCGGCTCATTGCAACCTACACCTCCCGGGTTCAAGCGATTCTCCTGCCTCAGCCTCCCAACTAGATGGGATTACAGGCGTGCACCCCCACGCCTGGCTAATTTTTGTATTTTTGGTAGAGACTGGGTTTCACCACGTTGGCCAGGCTGATCTCGAACTCCTGATCTTAAGTGATCTGCCCGCCTTGGCCTCCCAAAGTGCTGGGATGACAGGCGTGAGCCACCACACCCAGCCAAATTGTACACTTTAAATGGGTGATTTTATGATATGCAAATTATATCTCCATAAAGCTGTTCAAAAAACCTATGCAATCATTCAAAAAGACAGTAACAGATTTATGTTGCTTACATATGACACTCTCCAAGATATATTAAGTTGAGGGGTGGAGGAAATCAGAGACAATACATTGAATACAATCCCAATTTTATAAAAATGGCCAGGCACGGTGGTTCATACCTGTAATCCTAACTCCTAACATAGGAGGCTGAGGCAGGAGGGTCACTAGAGCCCAGAAGTTCAAGGCTGCAGTGAGCTATGATCATGACACTGTACCCTGGGTGACACATCTCATAAAAAAAAAAAAAGACACCGTAATGCTACCTATATTACGTATGCATATAAATTCATAGAAAATGATCTGGAAGACTATACCTCAAATTATCCAAAAGCCATTACATCAGTAAATGAGGGGTCTGGTGCGGTGGCTCACGCCTGTAATCCCAGCACTTTGGGAGGCTGAGGCGGGCGGATTACTTGAGCCCAGGAGTTTGAGACCAGCCTGGCCAACATAGTGAAACCCTGTCTCTACTAAAAATACAAAATTTAGCTGGGCGTGGTGACGCACACCTGTAATCTCAGCACTTTGGGAGGCTGAGGCGGGTGGATTACTTGAGCCTAGTGAAACCCCATCTCTACTAAAAATACAAAAATTAGCTGGGCGTGGGGGTGCACACCTGTAATCCCAGCTACTCGTGAGGCTGAGGCATGAGAATCGCTTGAACCCAAGAGGCGGAGGCTGCAGTGAGCCGAGATCCCTCCACTGCACTCCAGCTTGAGTGACAGAGCGAGACTGTCTCAAAAGAAAAAAAGAAAAAAACAAAAACAAAAACAAAAACAGAAAAATGTGCAAAGGACATGAACAAATGATTAAAGAACACACACAAAATGACCAATGAACACGTGGAAACAAGCCCAACCGCTCTAGTTATGAAAGAAATGAAGATCACAGTAAGATAACATCTTTCACTATCAGATCGACCAGTGTTGGCAAGGGTATGTGGTAGGAACATATTGCTGGCCGGAAAGAGAAACGGTACAGCCACGGCGTCCAGTCTGCGGGCCCAGGCTGCAGGAGCCGTGGGTGAGTGCGTACCGGATACAGCTTTCCTAAAGGCATCACGTGTCCAAAACTTTTAAAATATCCACGTCCTTTGGTCCGATAAACCCACTCTAAGGAATTTACCCTAGAACAATATCCGGGCCATGCCACAAGAAAACACGTGCAAGGATGTTTGTCCCAGCACTGT